GGAGGGAGAGAAAGTGTTAAAACAGTTTCTAATGAAGTAAGATATTTAAATGATGAATGACTAATGTGTTTAGTAGAGACAATAAACCAATAAATGTTTGTTCTTTGTCATTTATGCAAGAAACTAAATACCCTTTTTCAATATAACTAAACAGATTAATTTATAAATGCTTTATTGAAAAATACATTTATTTTCATATAAAAATTACAGTAGCAGTATCTTAAGAGATTTTATAAATATTTTTGATGCACACTATTCTAATTGAATAGTGTTAAGTTCCATATTTCTTTTAGAGCAATATGAAGTTACCTAGTAACTTTGTTTATACTGATTCAATTTACAATTGAATTTTCTCCCCAATAAGATTATTAATTCAACTTTAAAACTGCTGGAACAATAATGATTAATAAAGGTATATATAGATAATTCAGTAGCTGTTAAATAGTTTTCTAATTTGGTATAAATGGTACTATGTACTAATAAAAATCTAAATTTTCCAACCTATTTTTTTAAACTGCCACAAACACATCCAAAGATACTTTACATGTCTTTTGGATAACTACCTCCTAAAGGAAGAGGTCATAATTTTTCATATTTATCCCTTTAATTCAACTTGATTTAAAAGTCTTTACTTAGCCAGCTGACCCCTATATAACAACGACAACAAAAAACACTGGAGATTTAAAACACATGCCCAAAAGGTGGCCCTAGGGCACTGACAGTGTTATAAAAGTACAAAAGCATTAAAGAAAATATTGGCTATTTAGCCTAGAAGTTTCGTACTTAAAGTTCACATTGTAGAAAGTGCCATCACAAATATACAGCAAAATGTGGGTTACAAAAGTCATGCGTTTCACCACCCTAAAGTGCCACCACTTACACAGGTTCATTCAGACATTGCACAACTTTCACACTGCACCACAGCTATTGGGGAAGGGGAGAGGTACACAAAGCGAACAGGAGACTTAGGCTAGTGACCTCGAACCTCCCAGTCTGGGCCATCTCCTTTTTCTAGTTCATGAATGCAAAAATCTCACATTCCTACCAAGTGCTTTAGAACAAAATACCCAAGTTTTGTTCATCATAAGTACTTGAGAAGACACAAACAGGAAGGAATGAATTTGAAAAACAGTTCCTCTGCTGAAGCATGTCAACAGAGACCTCTTATATGTAAGTACATTTTGTTTTTTGAAGTACCTGTAAAAGTTTGTCAAAGAGTTAAAAAATCCAAGTTTGGATTCTGAGCAGTGTTGATGGTAAGCACTAAAGTGGTAGAAGAAAAGGCAGCTGGGATGAATAAAAATATTCTAAGGATAAAGTCCAATTTCTTGCCAAAATGTCCCTTCTTATTTCTAACAGGCTCTAGGGGGTGATAAAGGAAAAGTATTCCATAATGTAGCATACATTAAATGATGCTGCTAAACAGAGTTCATCAAAAGACAATTTCAACACCAGACTAACCTCAGTGGGAACCTCGATCATTAGCTACATCTTGGAGACGGCGTAGTAAGGCAGAATGATTTTCTGGACAAATTCTTTTTGCAGGTGATTCACTTCCATCATCCAAGACAATCCCTCTCTTTTTTGTTGGAGTTTCTCCTGTCCGTATCATACTGTTAATTTCTTTCAGTCTCTATGGTAGGGGAAAAACAGATATAATAAAAACTTTAAAATGCTAATGTACATAGCTCAATATTAAGTCAAAGAATTTCAAATGAGTTAAGCAGTTTATCTGTAAGAATTTTAATATCTTTCCAGAAGGAAAAAAATAGTATGTCCTACCAGCTTTACTTCTCAGCTGGCCAAGACTGATGACTCTTTGGATAGGGACAAGGCATTTCAATTTTTAACATATAAACACATACACTCATATATATTATATATTTACATATCTACCATGTATGAACTCATAAATTGGCGTTTTTTTTACAAGAGTTGTAAGAGCGTCATACTGCTACCATGTTCAATCACATATCCATTTTCTTAAAAAAAAAAATAGCACAATTTCACAGTATTACGATTTTTTTTTTTTAGTTACGAGTTACTGATGTTTCAGCAGCCCTTCTCAACCAGAATTCCACTAGAGAAGTAAGCCTTAGTTTCCTAAGGCTTCCATTCTAGGTAATTAATCACTAAGCTCTAGAGTGGCACTAGCTAATTACATGTTATCCTTGGGAAAACTAAGAAGTTACTCAAATTATTTTCCGTGTTCTATGGCTCCGATGAGGAACTCCACTGGAGAAAAACACTGTCAGAATGCTGAGACTGGATCTCTTCTGTGCGTTCAGCATTAAGATTCTTCAGTCTCCAAAGTCTGTTCTTAACATTGTTTTCTGATAGCTTGTTAAAGTTTTCATTTCTTGTGCTGCCTCATTATCCATGTTTCCTTATGAAAAGCATACTGAGAATACCAACATTTAGCTTAGGAAATTTCAAGCATACAGAAAGGGAGAAATGGGAATAATGTACCCTCACATGGCTATCACTTCATGCCAGTAATTTTGATTTGTCTTATTCGATCTATACCCCCTACATCATTTTAAAGCATGTCCTAGATACATTTTATTCATAATTATTTGTCATTTTATTTTTTTGTGGTGCTGGGGATCAAACTCAAGGCCTTATGCATGCTAGGCAAAGACTCTACCACAAACTACACCCCTAAGCCCATCATTTTTATTCTTTAAAATAATGAACTCTAAGGCTCTGGATAAAATCATCAGTGTTCTTTTTGTCAGCATATGTAGTTTCACAAATCTTAACTATTTTAAGGAAGTATCCTTTGACATGTTCTCTTCTACCCTCTTTTGCCTTCCTGAAAGAACTCTAGTCTGCATTTGCTGTCTCTGTAAATCTCTCACTTACTTGAATATTCCTTGTATTATTCACTGAATGCATTAATTGTATAAATACTAATTTTATGTAACATTATGCAATGTTACTATATAATGTATAATTAGAATCATAATACACAAGCACATTACTGTATAGTACCTTTTGATGTTAATTCATACATAATACACATCATAGTTCATTTACACAGTATTACACAGTCTAAGTGTTCATAAATTCTTATTTTAAAAAATTCATACAGAATGTACCTAACTCTTGGGGATACCTACTACTATTACTATTCTTCCACTGAACAAATCAGGTTGATTTGTTTGTGTCCATCTGCCCTCTTTCTAGGAATGCACTCATTCTGAAAAATGTAATACTGTATATTTAGTGAGGTTTTTAAGAAAACAAAGATAGCAATACTTATGTATTATTTGTACAGTCAAGTTAGATTTTTCCATATTAATATATATGGATCTATCTCATCTCTTTAACTGCTATATAGTATTTTCCAATATGTCTCTATAATAGGCTAATCTCCTATTAATGTAGTTTTCCTCCCAACTGTTTAGTACTATAAACAATACTACTATAATTCTTCAACAGACTACCAGTTCATTGAAGTTGCCCTTACAGGTGTCACTAATGATGTCTTCATCTTAATTGACTTTGTGTGGTATTTAAAGATTTTCTTTTCTCCTGATTATGTAAATGTTTGTTACACTTTGGCTACAGACCCAAGCTACTTCTCACTTTGTAATATTCTCCCTTGGTCTTAACTATCACCTATTAAGTCATGACAGATTTTCTCCATCAGCAAATAGTCTCTATAATTTATTGGAGAAACTTCCAATTCTGTGGTAGAATTTCTTCTGAAATTTCCCCAGGTGGCAATACTGTAGAGGCAAGACTGAAAAATCACTGATGTGGATGCTTAACCTTTCTTTTATACAAAATGTATTTTCCTCCTTTAAGGAAGTAAAATCTTCCTTAAAGGAAGATTTTAAAAGGAAAAAGATTTTTTCCTTTTGTGTGTAGGTGTGCATGTTTGGACAAATAACTACTTACTTGTATAACCACAACAAAGACATAAAACATTTCCTTTTCTCCAAAAATTCCCTCATGGCCCCTTAGCCTACCTTCCCCAAGCAACCACAGATGCTTCTTGTCCCTATAGTTAGCCTTTTCTGGAAGGTCACAGAAATACAACCATAGTAAGTATCTTACTGATTCTGTCATATTTCACTTAAGCATTAATGCACTTGAGATTCATCTATATTGCTAAGTGTATCAGTAGTTCCTTTTTTGAGACAGGGTTTTTCTATGTAGGCCAGACAGGCCTTGAACTTATGATCATCCTGCCTTAGGCTTCCCAATGCTCCTTTTTTATTGTAAAGTAATAGTTCATTGTATGCTGCACTGCAGGTTTGTTTTCCATTAACCAGTTGAGCGACATTCCTGGGTTTTTATACTTTTTGGTGATTAGGAATAAAGTCACCTTAAGAAGATAAGTTTTCACTTCACTTGGGTAAATACCTAGGAATTAAATTACTATTGTATAATAAGGGTATGTTCAATTTTAGAAGACACTGCCAAACTATTGGAGAATGGATAGACCATTCTGTTTTCTCACCAGCAATATATAAATGTTCCATTTGCCAAACCTTTCTAGTCATTCTTCCCAGTAGACATGTAATGGGTGAAAAGTGTTCAAATCTTTTGCCAGCTTTTACATTTAGTTGTTTGTTTTCCCATTAGATTTTGAGAATTCTTTAATATTTCAGACATACAACTACTTGATAGGTGATTTGTAAATATTTTCTCAGTCTGTGGCTTGTTTTTTCATTGTCTTAAGTGTCTTTTCTTTTTTTGTTAATTTTTAAATTGTTTTATTCATATGTGCATACAAGGCTTGGGTCATTTCTCCCCGCCGCCCCCACCCCCTCCCTTACTACCCACTCTGCCCCCTCCCTCTCCCCCTCCCCAATACCCAGCATAAACTATTTTGCCCTTATCTCTAATTTTGTTGAAGAGAGAGTATAAGCAATAATAGGAAGGAACAAGTGTTCCTGGTTGAAATAAGGATAGCTATA